ATTTATAATAATACTTATGATAAGACAATATTTTCCCAAATAAGCATGCTTTTATAATGTTTGTCAGACATTCTGGCTCTAATCAGCTCCACATTATTTTTGATGCGTTTGAACGACTGACCTGGTCTTTTGAAGAAATTCGTCATCCTAACTGGGATGCGGGACTTTCTCCATTTTGGCCGAGGAGGTGGAGGAGGAGAACCTGGGGTAGTACTGAAGGAGGGCGAGTCATCAGGAGTCCTAATGAAGGGATTTTCTCTCAGCTCATGGGGAGTGTGAGTGTTGACAGTGGTGAAGTTGTCTTCAGAGCTGATGGAAAGCAATGTGGCGACATTCTGCTTTCTCTCGAAGCTTTGTTCATTAAAGCACCAATCACCATGTTTGAACTTATCTGAGAAACTTTCATGTTTTCTTGAGCGGTTATTTAAAACTGCGTCGATTTGCGATTCATCTGCAGCAGAAATCCTCTCTTTTTGTTGAATTGGAGGTTCCTTGCAAACATTTTGATGATCCAAAACCGTGGATTGAGGAGTTTTGGTCCTCTGTGATTRAAAAAAACAAATGTTTTCAAGGTTGAACACAAAAACAAAAGTCACATTAAGCAAACATTACCGCAAACAATGTTCTACACCATATTAMTCGACACCAAAAGTGTTTTTGATCAAAATAAGTTGTAGTTTTAAATCAGTTGCATGTTCTTTGTGAACTATCAGTTCGGTTGTTTTCACTCACCTTGTTCTTAGACGGCCAAATTTTTTTCCACAGCTGAGAAAAAAACTTAGTAGCCATTATTCTTCGTACATTTACTGAGGGGAAAAAATGTCCCTTTGCCAACTGAGATTAGTGGGTCTGTGAGTTTTTGTTGCCACAGTTTGTTTATGAAAACATTCAGTTGGCATGGACACATGAATTAGAACTTTAGAACTCTGATTCCTTTTAATTTCAAAGATTCAATTGTAAGCATAGCAACAAGACCACATGTTTTTTTAAGAAATTTCTCAAATTTTCAAGATTTTTAATCTCACACATTCTGTTCTTGTCTAGTAAATCAGTCTCAAAACAAGATAAAAAATATATATTTTTGGCTGGATATAAGATTTTAAA